TCCGGTTTTGGTTTTGGTTTTGTTTTTGCATGCTAATCGGTTCTTAATCGGTATTAACCCGGTTAAGAAATGGTTAAATGGTGATTTGAAAACAATAAACCAATTGCTGCGAATTTTGGCAACGAAGCAGCAATCAAGTTGACACGTTGTGTCCCTAGGGAGATGATAGAAATCAAGAGTTGTGATGTGAATATGTAAATGTGTAGGTAGCGGCAGTGGCGGTTTTGTGCGTGCAGCCAGAACCGAGTTATAGACCATTGAACCGAGTTATACCTTTGGTTCCATTGGAACTTGGTGGAACCTTAAAAACCATCAGATCTTCTGCTTCCATGGATCACTGTTAACCACCCATAGAACCAGTTCGGTTTAAGATTGACCCGTAGGTGGTTTTTGATGTGCATATTGTTGGGTTAATAATTTGTAACCGGAAACATTACAGTAACAAGTTTTTTCATCACTGTTGAACTCTTTTGTCATGTAAATGAGAACCCTCTCTATCAAAAAAAGAGAATGCTACAGAGTCATTGAATCAGACTTGTAACTTGTTTATGTGACCATACGCCATGTCAAACATAGAATGTTTGAAAATTCATATAACAAATGACTTTTTGGGTTTTGCATGATTTGAGATTAAAAAATAAGAAAACAAAAAGAGTAGATAAATTGATACATAGTAAACAGAAAAACAGAGTAAAACTTGTCTTAAATGAGAAAGAAATTTAGGTGGAAGCTAAGACATGTGGAGATAAATATGGAGACCTGTAATCTTTCACCTCCAAGAGACAAGTAGGTAACTGAATACAGCCTTGCAATAGAAGATCAACCCTCTCGACTACGTTTTCTGGTACCGGAGTGATCACATATAAGATTCCTCTCTCGGTGTCAATACCCCGCACGATTCCTGTTAAAATTCAAAAACCAGATTCAATCATATAAATCCAGATTCGATAAGCTTTTTTCACTAATTGCAATGGATTAGAGCAACTTACCAAGACCTACACATGAAGGTAAATCTTCAAACACATCGGAGCTAATTCCCAAGCCAACAATGGAAGCATTCAAACTATAAAACACTTCAGAACTCGAAATCTAGCGAGATACAAAAAGAGAGAAACTCATTCTTGGCATCAAACATGTACATACAGATTACAAGAATATGAGGTTTTATCTTGTTTTTTACCTGGCAATGGAGATGACTGATAGTTAAACTTGATATTGGAACTTCATAAGGATCATGGGAAGCGAGTTCGTGGGTTAGCTCTTTGATTGTGTTTACTTCTTTTCCTTTAATGCATTGCCTGAAGTAGGCGATTATACGCATATCCCTCAACAAACGAGCATCCTTCTGTATCAAAACGCTGTACAAACAGAATACATAAACCTGTAAGTAACTTGCATGAAAGCATATTGATATGATTGTTCGATAACTAGCATTTGTACAGGACTTACGATCGATTGTAACTGTCTTGGTAAGCAGACTGAATCTCTATCAGTTGAGATGTCTCATCATCATTACCGTCTAACCAGAACAAACCAGCTGGTAGGTTTTTGCCGTGAGCAGAGATGTTGATTTTCACAACATGGGAAGGAGTAACATATCTCAATACGTCAACTAATAAATCATAGCCAATACCTAAAGATAGTAATCATAATATTAGTGAAAGAAAACAAAATTAAAAGAAGTTTCTTCTATTAAACACACAAAAAGACAAAAATGTATATGATGAAATTGTTTTTCTTGTTTTGAAAGGATAAAGAGAGAAAGTTACCTTTAACCCAGCCTGGTGTATTGATAACAAGGGGTAGTTCAGTTTTGTTCTCACTAGACTTGCAAAAGTATAACTGGTAGTAATCAAATAAGGTATATACATATCTTAAATATGCCTTTGGATCCCTCTTTGAAGAAACATCACCATAGAAGAAACATCTGCATCATAGAGAGGATAAATGGCCTAAACCTAAAATCAAAGACTCTGTGCTACTGATTCCATGAAAATTTGCTCGAATTAAACTACCTCTCTGGTGTCTTGACACATGGAACTGTCCAATCCGATTCTAGAAAGTAGAAAATGCCAAACCAATAATATAATTGAGGGAAACAGCACTATAAAGACAAGGTATTGGAATGTAAACAACAAGAATGAGTATAAGTCTGAGGTACCTAGAATTGATTTATCGACAACTGTGAGAGAAAGAAAACCAGGTGCAGTGAATTCAGGCTGGCCAACATCGGTGTCCAAATAAGCAACCCTTTTGTATCTGTAAACCACAACGGTTAATCTTAAGCAAACTCATTCAGACAAAGTAACCATGATAGTGTAAAGAAACTAGTTTCCCCAATGCAGATTTCTTAAGGGGCACAAACAATAAAGAAAAGCAATGACCTTTGGAGAAGAACTTGAACAAGATTGCGCGAAAATGTGCTCTTGCCACTGTTTTTAGGGCCACAAACTAAAGCAACAACTGGTTGCAACGACATGGAGGAAACAGAAGTTGCTGCATCAGACCAATCCTCTGGTATGAAAGGCAAATTGTTTTCTACTTGCGACATTGCAAGCCACCACACTTGTCCTTTCTATGTGTGCAACGTTCCTCTACGAACAATCGGTTAACAAAGAAAAGAGATGAATAAAAGTTCTTCAATAACCCAACCAACAAGTTTATTAAAAGGGTTTAAGCTATGCACGAAACTGAATTTCTTCCTCCTAACCGAGAACAAAACTCATCCTTTTTTCTATTTTAAAACACGAAATTAGACTTAGACTTCATCACCATTCTTTCAAGCTATACCACACTACCTAAACTCGATTCCGTTTCCTAAAACACTACAAGAAAATTGATTCGAGCTCCATGTAAACGTACTTGTTAAAATATTACGGAGAGCGACCAAACTGGAAGCTGTCGGAGAAGAAATAGTGACCGGCGATTTGGAGTCCGTCGAGCAGAGGAGAAGGTATCGATCGAGCCGTCGGAGAAGAGGGAACGGAGAAGCATAGGGTTTTTAAGTGCTTTCTAAACCGAACCGGATTTTAAATCAAACCCTGATAAACCGGAAGTACCTTGAGATAGTTATTGAACCATCGGGTTTTCGGTTTAAAAAGGCCAGTGAACCGCTCGCTCGGCGTCTAGTTGGGTCTTTAGACTTGTTGGTTATTGGGCCTTTAGACTATCCGGTAACAGTCGGACTTTTAGGTATTTTGGATAAATTTTGTTTCTTATCTTTTTTAAAATTTGAACTACTCAAATAGATGTTTAGGATACTTTTGTCTAATATACGATACGCTTCCCTACCTATTGAAATGTATATATTAGATTTAGGTCTGCGCCGAACCGCGGAATTATATTATTAAATAAATTGATTAATTGTTTTAACATATATAATATTTTAATATTTAAACGTGTTTGACAAAATATATGATTTTTAATATTTGTAAGCATACAAAAATGATATGTATTGTGTATAAAATAAATAAAGTTGAATATTTTTTATCAAAGATATGTTAATACTATCAGTTTTAATAGTTTTATTTGTAAATTGATCAAAATATATGCAAATATTATTTTTTTTTAATTTTTAAAAAATATATAATTGATCTTTGTTATTCGTGTAAATTATAGAACATACGATAAATAAATTTGTCTGACATAACAAACGGAAAACAATATATGTTTTCCAATAATGAAATTTATAAATATTTATAAGTGTGATTAAATATATATGGTAAAGTACATATCATGATAAAAATATTTTTATAGT